GTGAAGTGCTCGTCAGACGCGGTTTTCCTCATTCTATAGCGCCGCGGCCATCTGAGCCAGTAAATCGCTGGGGAGACCAGGTACTTGCGCATCTGGCAAACCTTGCACGACCAAATGGGGGGGGGGGGGAGGGGGAGGAGGCGGAAGAATTACCACGAAGGCAAACATGCAAGGGCCTCAGGTAAACGGACAAATGTACGTACGGCATATGCACGCAAGTCAAATGTTCTTTGACAAATGGACGCACGCAGATGTTCGTCAACGCAAATGTTCGTAATCGCTAATGAGTGCACCGCAGTTATTCGCATCGCAGTTATTCATAAGCTAATTAAAAGCTTATTGAGTTGTGTACACCCGCTAATGTACGTCCAGCAATTATTCGTGTCGCGAGCGTTCGTAAGTGCATATGTCCTGTTAAGTGCAAACAATTTCGTGCCGCTATCGCTCGTCGACGCCAATGGTATCGTGGTCAACCGGACCGCAAATGGTCGTAAACGTTAATGTTCGTAAACGCAAAACGCCCCCCCCCCCCCCCCCCCCCCGTAATCTGCGCCTCCCGGCGGTACGCATGGCGGAACACCGCGCCTTTGCATGCAAAGCGGCGTCTCTCATGTATGAGTTGCCTGTGGATGTGAAACGACCCGATCCAACAAGTTTTAGGCATGCTGCCAAGTCGTTTTTGGAGCGATAGGGTTGCCTTACACTGATAATACGTGTATGCGTTCATATGTTTTTTATCCCTTATCACTTTCCGTTGTTTTTGACATGTTGTTTTATCTCGCAGGCTAATGACACGCAATGGCCACACATATGTGTGTAGTGTCAGAGGACGTCAATTAATAATGCAACGTGCGTGAAAAGACAGACAGACAGAGGCATGTTTTTTATTTGGTTGTTTAGATTTTGCCGTTACCGAAGCGTTACCAGGCCGAGCCAACCTGTCCGTCCTCGCAAGTCAAATGACCCTACGTAACTCTGTGTATAGCCTGTAACTGTTGTATCGTGATGCATGCAGCATGTCAGGCGTGCACTGTCCGCACGACAAGATCTCACCCGATATTTGTATTGCTTCATATCCACCCACTCTTGGGAGCTTGCGTTTCGAGTATTTTTCACATGCATGTTTTCATGCAGGAACATGGGCGATATGATAATTCGCATTGCCGGATATCGGTGAATACGAACGTTCTGTGATAACAAACTTTTGCGGCGCGATCATCTGCAATGCGAGCATATACGCACACGTGTACTAGCGTTTACGTACATCTGCGCTACGAGCATTTGCAATTGCGGGCATCAACGTTTACGTACGTTTGCGATGCAAACATTTGCGCATGCGTAGATACTTGTGCGTTTATGAACACCCGCCTTACGCACATACGCACATTTGCGATTGCCAATATTTGCTCATGAACATTTGCAAGAACGAGCATTTGTTCATGAACATTTGCGAGTGCGAACATTTGCGTGCGCATGTTTGCGATACGCAGATTTGTCTCGCATACGTTTGTCCTGCTATTGAGATCTCGGGGGGGGGGGGGGGGAGGGGCATCGTAGCGATTGCAATGTAGCTAGATCGCATCTGGATCAAGAATGACGCCGTCCAGGCAGCAGGCAGGCAGGTATTGCAGGCTGGTAGGTGATATTGCAACATGCTGAATCATGTACGCTTCCGCCAAAGATATCTGCCGCGGTAGCAAAAATAAGGACAGCGATTTCATTGATATGGAGTGTCCAGGTATGAGCGCGACGGTGAGAGCTCACTTATGCTAATTTATTTGTGTTGCCTGAATACAGTTGCGGTGTAAACTTCTTTCATTGTCTCATCCGCTTGTATAACCTGCTCATGACAAGAGGTAATTATAGGCACGGCTCTTGCTAGTAACGTTTTGTTGTTTGATTCAAGAAATAATCATAGTTCGATCCGTCTTCATGGGGAAATCGACATAAAACGTTCAGAACGCCCTGTGGTAGGCCACGCACACGGACGCAGTCATCGCCGGCCCGTCCCGTTACCGACAGCACCCGTCCAGGAGACCACCACACACTGCGGGTGAGCCGCGCCCACGTCATGCCCTCCCCGTCGTCGTCAGGAGCTCCGTCAACCAGAGAGCGGCAAGCTTCCGGCGGCCGGATGCAGGGGTACGCGGGTCCGACGGCTCCTGGGAACGACCCGGCCCGGGCCTCAGCCGATCCAGTACCGGGAGAGGGGAGGGGAGGGGAGGAGAGCGGAAGGACGGGGCGGGACGTCTGCCAGTGTCGACCGGCCTACGGGCGCGGTACAAGAAGCCAAACGCAGGCCACGAACGCGGCGACACCAAGAGCACCTGAGCACCTTTGCGGCGATGACATCATGCTTCAAACTGCGACTACAAGTATGGACATCTTTATCCCGTCAGTGGAAAGGCTGGATCGGATGGTCGATGTTTCACACGCGACGGTCACGTGGGTGCGTTCAGCGAATCAAACCAAATCCCGTCCAACGCCGGTCCATGCTCGGCTCACGCCATTCGGAATCATGCCTCACTGCACGGCGATCGCGCCGTGGTTCAGACCGCAGAGGTTCGTTCCGAACGAAGGTTTTGTCAGGTCACGGCATTTCCCTTCAGCCATGCGAAGAGTTCGCCGGCCAAACGCACCAGCACGCAGGTCAGGCGAGCCCTTGCCTTGCGTGCTCGGTGGAAACTCCCGAAAAATCCGGCTCAAAGGTAGATTAACGGATACATTTTTAACGTAACTGCATTATTTCTACACGCAAAATCAAGCATATGATTCCTGATTAAGAACACACACAGCAAAAGTTACTGCATGGTTCAATGAACGACTCACTTGTGTTAGCGTGACCGCTTCTGTGTATACATTTATCCATGTATATAGGTAAAAAATCTACGTATATATATATATATATATATATATATATATATATATATATATATATAAGTCCCCGCGTATAGCTGTACAACTGTACATTTCAGCGGAACAGCGGTTTACAACACCATTACGAACACACATATCCGTTATCACTTGGTGCAGTTTTGACTGCTCTGCCGTGCATAGCTTTCACACTCAGCGCAAAACAAAGTTGGGAAATGTAAAGACTTCCTTGCTTGGACTTACCAACAATACGTTATCATGCATCGCTATCAGCGTTGTTTTGTAGAGCTTTCTCAGAGCAGTAGATAGTGGCAGTCTCTTCAGGTTAATCATTCGGTGTGTTCAGAGACCTGGAAACCAGCAACTTTCCGACGCCACGGCGGCAATTCCGGTAAAACCCTGCGGTCTTTGAGCGCGCGCCCAGAGGGAGGGAATGCTGACACCTCTTACAACAATCACGATACACCCAACGTTTCCACCCGCACAGGGTACGTAGGTGGAGGCGATTACCAGACAGCACGCTACCTGAAACCGTCTCATCCGCGGGTGCCAAGCGGCCCGAAGGCGCCCTCTGTCCTTCCGGAAAGTCGTGCGCACACCGAAATCTACACCGAGCTTGCCGCTGACCGCGACGACCTGCATCTGGGAGCTGCGGCCACGAGAAGGTCAGATGCCGTCAAAGGGTATGCCAGTCGGCGTCTGCCCATGCGGCATGTTAAGCACCCTCCACAAAATTCTGCCGTCGACCTGGAATCGCACGATCGGACGGCGCAGGGTCAGAGCTCACGCAACAAGCGCTGCTTGTTGCAGCGTGGGCTCTGATCCCAGAAACCCAATCTGTTAAAAGGTTTTAGGCGTTTGCTGATGTGCTTCCACAAGGCGTGATCTATGCAGGTCAAGCCGATGTGTTCAGGGTGTGACTCGCACCAGAATAGCAAGCTCATATGTTAGTCGTCGCATTCACAGGCATCCGTTTTGACGGCATGAACATGGCCAGGGGGCAAAGCCTTTGGAAGCAATAAGCGTTCACGGCTCTGACCCGTAGCAGCTACATTTTCTTGCATCCATGCGTGTATTCGGTGATGCTGGTGTGAGGCCCAGTGAGCGTACTGGCTCTGCAGTAGCCGTCCACCAAGTTACAACAAAAAGCCTTCCAGTGATCTTGGAAAGCATGCACCACCTAATGTCCATCATAAAGTTGCATTACAACACATCATTTCAGGATGGAAATTGCAATCATAAATGTGTCCACTTTCACTTCCAGGACGGCACAATGTGTCAAAAGATACAGGGCACATGAAACATCTAAGCGCGTATTGGCGGAAAGGGAAGTGGCGGGCGCAGGTGTCACGCGATGGTGGCAGCGACACCCAGCCACTTCCGCGGCTAAGACTGGTACGAGACAGACGTGGCGGCAGCGTTATCGTCGTTCTTACAGAGCCATGTAAAACGAAACCGTCAGACCCTTCAATGGGCCTCCAACTATTCCCCCAGCACGGCACCACCTGGAGACGGCTCTACTTCGGCTGATGGCGCTGCATGGGCTAGCACTTCTGCCATTACGAACATGAAATAAACGGCAAATGTTGTCCATATTCCGACCAACCATGAAAATGAAATCCCAAAAGCATCCCGGTCGTCTAAGAGCGAACAGCCGCGTAGACCCGACAGACCTGACAGACGTGCCGTGTACCTCCAGCCGCGGCCAGGCGTGAAGCATGCCCGGTAGACGGGCCGCACGGAGTGCCCAGCCAAACGTATGGCGCCAGTAAATCTCTCGGTCCACTCCGCCCCATTTCAAAGTGATTGAAACGCGCTGAATGTTGTAAGTTCCCGCCATTCACATCATGATCTGTGCATAGTCTCAAAAACACGCCGCAGGTGCGCAGGTTCGATGTCGCGGCGGATGGCTGTGGCCGCACACTCATGCCGCTCCAAAACAACACCACCAAACTGTAACATTGCGCGAACGCACCAAACAGGCCGTGATCGAAACCTTCGGCTCTCACACGCAGCCTGTGGCAGAGCTCTGACCAAGTGCGGGCGCGCGAGGCGGCCCGCTCGTCCATATGCAACTTCACCACCCCGCCTCCCGCCTGTCCTGCGCGGAGGTCCGAGCCACTCACCCATGTCGGAGAAGTCGTCTACCAGGATAACCTCCTTGAGCAGCTCGACTGGCGACCGGTCCAGGATCGAGTGGACGGTTCGTATGAGCACCGACCACGCCTCGTTGTGGAAGCATACTATGACGGCCGTGTTGGGCAGTCGGCCCCACTGCTGTGTCTCCCGGCACCTGGAGAAGCAGTGCAGATGGTGTTACAGACTGCTGTGTCTCACAACACCTGGAGAAGCAGTACAGACGGTGTTACAGACTGGTGGGTCTCCCAGCACGTGGAGAAGCAGTACAGACGGTGTTACAGACTGCTGTGCCTCTGGCACCTGAAGACGCAGTACAGACGGTGTTACAGACTGGTAGGTCTCACAACACCTATAAAAGCAGTACAGACGGTGTTATAGACTGGTGGGTCTCCCAGCCCCTGGAGAAGCAGTACAAACGGTGTTACAAACTGGTCGGTCTCTCAGCACCTGGAGAAATAGCACAGACGGTGTCACAGACGCCTGTTTGGTGGGTCTCCCGGCATCTGGACATGGGGAACGGGTGGTCGCATGGGACGATGTACACACGGCCCACGACCAGAGTCGGAATGACGTCAACTCGCTGAACGAGTCGTGATCGACGTCTGACGTGGTGGACCCAGAACTTCATTCCGATCTTGGCAACTGCACTTGGTGTCGGCGGGACTGGTCCGCCCACGGGGAGAGGGGTGTGGGAGGGGGCGTGAGGTGTTAGCCGTGGAGCGTGTTGTCCGATTTCGATCTGCTTTGCTGTGGACATGTTTTGTGATCTAATCAACGCCGGCATCGCTGATCATGTACCGATAGCTATCCGCCGCTACTAAATCGCAACGTCTGACGCAGACGTTAGAAATACCCTTACGCAAAAAGACGCCGCACAGGTCTCAGATATGTTGTGACTTGCGCGACAAATCTTGCTGCTCTCACATACGGTGGATCTCGCTTGAAAATCGTCCTCAGTACTAAATGCCGTGGCTATCTGGTAAGTCTTGTCCAGGACTTTCGTGACAATCCTAAACGTTGCTGGTCGTTTTTCAATTCCCAAAAATATTCGCGGCCAAGTTCTACTAGGCTGGTAGGTGAAGGTCTCCGTTACACTGACATTAACGCATGCGCCAACGTGTCCGGCACATCAAATAAGACATGTCGTCAAGGCAGTCCCAACGCCCGTATTTCATTTGAATTCCACTGTTAGTTCGCGACGCCCATGTAGAGCATGACAAAGCCATGATCTGCCTACATTACCTGCGTACATGATCTTGGTCACGAGGATGATCCTGATCTGTCCTGCGCATGTCCTGACTGTGTTTATGTGACATGTGCACACAAACAAGCGCTTCACCCTTCAGTTCTACTTGTCGTAAATTATTTTTCCACGAGTCTGGCAGGAGGCCAATGTAATTCCGCTCCTTTCAATGAGGAGAGAAAATAGACAAGCACATAGGCATTTCGCTGCTGCCGTTGAATTCACATTTTGCGGAAAAATACATTTTGATGACTTCCTCGCACACAGTCAGCCTCTCCTTCCACATTGACATTCAGATATGCTCCCTTCTTGATCGATCCCACTTATCCAATCTCTTCTTTTAGCACGGCTGGGACTTGATCCAAGGGCGCACAAAAACAGAAGTTATTCAACAGCCTTCGCTGGTGAGAATCGTACTCGTTCCCTTCCCTGGCAATCTAACAACTTCATTTAGTCAAACCAACTGCATCATGAACGCCGCCGACCTTAAACCCCAGCACCGAAAAAAACTACCGCTGACATCTTCGTCTTTCAGGCTTACCTGGGTTTTCTTGACACCTGGTGGTGCATTTAGCACCTAAAACTGAATCACAAGAAATGCACCTTCATCGCATTCGCCGTGCAAATATTACTCCTGGTTGCATACACAATTGCGGACTCCGACTTCGAACGGTGCACACAGACACGCGACCCAGCTGCCATTCCTCATCAGCTTACTTCTTTACTAACCGCACGTTAGGTCTGCTTATTAGAAACATGCACCTGTGCAGAGCTCATAGTAACGATGGCATGAACTACAAATCCACGGCATACGCCTGCGACGCTCACGTTAGATCAGCAGTGGCGTGAGGGTGATAATGTGCGGATTGTAAGGACATGCATGGATAAGTGAGGGCGTATGTACCATATGGGCGGGAACAGCCACACGATACTTGGAGCAGCTCGAATGCATTCAACGCAGTTCTCTTTTTCACGGCTGATTGTCAAGTCAGATCACTTTCACCCCACAATGGACTATGACAAGTTATCAGATCATTTCAGCACAAGCTCAATCATGTACAGATTCATGGTATTCATGGATTAATCATTTACTCATGGTATGTGACATAAGGTGTCTAAAAAACACAAAATTTTGAAAATAAATATGTTCACCAACACGTTGCTTAAAGTTCCTTTGCTTGCTGTTACTTGCCCGTTGTTTGAAGGCGCAAAGAAAAGAACACACAAAATATCACTTAACGCAAGAACACAGCTGTTTTCGCGTTCCAGGCGAAGAGAAGGTATGCGACCCATTTGACGAAGGTGTGGTGACATGCATTGAACTTTAGTGCCACTAGAAGCGTTTTTCTTGTGCACTGTGCACCCACCATCATACGTCCACAACTTGACGGCGAGAGGATCATAATGGCAATGCAGAGCGATATCTGTAAAAGCGTGTCGGAACCATCCCAGATTTCAAGTGCATGGTGCCATACCCAGTGTCAAAACACAGTTTTTCTCCACAAAATTGTTTTTGATAATTCCACGTGCATGCCAACATGCTAAAGGTACCTAATTCGTGTGCATGCAGGCGTGTTCTCCGCCTACGTATGTAAGGCATACGCATTGGAAGCGCCCGATGCCTTCCAATCCAAAAACTTTTGATCTCATGAGTGCATGAGACCTGAGGTTACCTAAAATTATGATGCACCTTGAGTTTGGCAGTCTTGTTCGGCAGATCACGGACTTAGCAATACAGCACGAATCACCAGGTAATACAAACAACAGGATCGATCACGCAAAGATGTGGTTTCGCTACATTTTGAGGTGTTTGTGTTGTATTGCATTACGCGTCCGAGCGTCTTCCAGTCGTCGACTGGCTCTTGCGCCCACAGTGTCCGACAGCTTCATATGATCGCTGCCGCAGCATCGTCATGGATTATCGCTAAGTACAAACGCGGGCGTACGTCTGCAAATACATCGAGGTTGAATTATCGTGGTCATATTAAGGGCGTAACCAGGTATCGCTGAAAGCAGAAACTAACCCAGCTATCACAGTAATGCCTGAATGGCTGTGGTTACTGCCGATTCGCGACAGGACCTTCCGCACTTGTTTGCACGCGCCATCCTGTCAGTTCCCACCGATCTCAGTGTGATAAGAATGTGTTCCATTTACATAGGTACTGCTCGAACAGGTACAGCACATTTGATCGCCTCTGAGCGACTGCTGCGGATGTGTACCGTTCCATTAGCAGTTACGCGAGAGACCTCAAATCGATGTTCGACGAGGAAAAAATGGCGATCTGATGGAGCAAGCATACCAGTTTTGAAAAAAACGGGCACAAAACGGGGTATGAAACAGATTCAGTGTAACGCAACGGCCGGGATCAGATCTAAGGATCTCGGTTTTTATATGAATATTGACCAGATTGTATGCCTCTGATTAAACTTTGAAGACTACTACACTATCAAAACTGATCTGTTTGATCTGCGAGCGTTTTTCTACGCCGATTTCACATCCCTGCACTTTTCTAAAAGAAAGTGACGATAAAACTCACGTCTGGCGTCAAAGTTTCTGTTCAGAACATCAGAGCCAGCACAATATTGTGGTGGTCTGACATGACCCGGTACCAAATATAACTGACAAAATGGCAGGATTCCATGCATGAATAAGGAATGGTCCGTTACACACTTCCATGCATCGAGCCGTCTGAAATATCACTTTGGTTCAATACGTCGAAGGCTTCGGCATATCCTCCTAAATTAAATCAGTCAGAAATTTCAACAACAAAAATATTTAGTATGTATGCTTTGATAACTATGCAAAGTTCTGGCCTTAAGATGAGAGCTACGGGTAGTAAGTACTTGATATATGATTAAGTATCAGCCATGGGGATACAATGGAAAGACAAACCGCAAAAGCAGTGTTCAGTGTTGGTGATTGTCACGGTGGAAAACTGCTTTATAATTCAAAATCGTTTGCTCAGAGTAGGAGAAAGGACAATTTTAAAGAAAATTTGACGCCTCTCATGGGCGAAATCAGACCAGGCTACAACAGCCAGAAGATATAAAAACAAGCAGCACCAAGGAGGATTTTACCTGGCTTCGACTACATTTCAGTGATGTGAGAATGAATTGTTCGGGATTGAGTCCAGAAATCGTATGAAGCAACGATGAGCTTCCTCATACCACACGACGTTTTAATCGTCGAAATTCCAGTGGGGCGTACCTAACGGGAACTGGGTTTCTCCGTAAAAAGATCACACTAAAACTCGACCCCAGTTACATGTAGTATGTGACGAGAATGGGGAATGCTAATTGGCGAAAAGAACTGCTGTAAATCTGTCCAGCCGTTGACGACCCAGCTGGCTCGCAGCTTTCGCTCAACGAAAATACTAAAGAACGACATGGAGCGGGGATGTCTGGGGGCCTGATGTTCTGACAACCCTGCCATGCCTAACGAGTCCCGGCGAGCGATACTGTCCGAAAAGTGACGGACGCATGATCTCCCCGCTGACTGCACCACCGCATTCGTGACGTGCCGATAACCGCCGCGTCATTCCATTTCCCTCCACGGGCCCGTTGGTTCGCAGTGCTGCTGACCTCATGCGAGCCGACCGCGACGTTGCACCAGATCGTCTGCAGACCGCCCGCCGCCGCCGCAGCCGGCAGCCACTCCCACGCCAAGAAGGCGCGGGCGCGGCCCGTACCGCCGCCGGGCGCGGCGGGAAACCGGCCGGTGCCGGCGGCGACCGCGCCGGGGTCGGATCAGCTGTCGGTGCCAGCGGCGACTGCGAGGTGTTGGATCGGCTGTCGGTGCCGGCGGCGACTGCGCGGTGTCAGATCGGCTCTCGGTGCCGGCGGCGACCGCGCCGGGGTCGGATCGGCTGTCGGTGGCGGCGGCGACCGCGCCGGGGTCTGATTGGCTGTTG